CCACAGCGGCGCGCGTGGGGGGAGGCAGAGCGCGTGCGCGCGGGCGGGCGTGTGTGAGGAGAAGTGGCATAAAAGGGCGTCGTGGGGAGCTGTTGCCCTCAGTTCTTCTCGTAGGCGTTAGAGAGCAGTTTTTTGTTTTATTTTGGTACGGTCTAGAGTAAATATGTAGGCGGCGCTACCGCAAAAAGGTGTTTGTGCAGAGACTAGGGGAAGATTTCCAAAAAGAAAGGGAAGGTAATGAAGTTAATCCGGCTGGCTGGAGCTTTTTGGCTTTCCCTAACCAGAACACAGCAGGCTGGAGAAGCCAGGGGTGTGCTTGGCTCCAGAGCCACAGGCAAGGCCACCTCGCTCAAAGGAAGTTTGCAGAGTAAGTGGTGGTGTGTGTTATGTCTTGGAAAGCTGCAAAGTGGAAGGGGTGATCTGCGCCTCCCACACTGTTATGGAGCAGAGTTTTTGGGTTTGGTAGCAAAAAAATTTGTTTAGTTTATCATGCTATTGTGAGAAACACCGACTCGCATCTTAGAATTTAAAGAAGACAAAGTCACCGAAGCAAAGGTTAAAAAATTAATAATTTATTAATACGAAACAGCGCTGAATCGGGTGCACCAAAAATAGATGCACGATGATCTTTCAGCTTTCAGGTATTTTATACCTTTATCCTGGCCGCTTGAGTTTCTGTCTTTCTTCTCATTGGCTGAGAAGTTGGAGCTCACATTCTTCCCCACCGCTTGACCTATTACAGGTTTATTTTGCACTTTTTCCCATATAAGGCACACATACACCTATTCTATGAAATCATTATCCTAAACACGCCTTTGATTAGTTGATTATGCTACACATTATTTCAGAGTCTTTGCTACCATCTACTTGGCAGATTTACCAGACTGGTTTCTTTGGCCTTATTGATACTCCCCTACCCTTTGGGTTTTTGTGTTGAAGGCCATGTTCCAGTTTGTTTCTCTTCACCTAGATAACGCTCTGTGAACAAGGATCCCTTGACAGACCATTTCTGGGGCTTAATTGGCTTGACAGGGCATTTCTGGGGATTAATTGGATACAATTTATTAGACTCTACTATTACTAAGGCTTCTTTGTTAGTACTGTCACACTAACAATGATACATCAATTAGCTGAAGCAAAACTTAGCTTATTTCCCACACTATCCACTTTCCTCATCGAGGAAATCTCCTGCAGCAGGGAGTGCTGAGGCGGCCTACCCCTGAGGGAATGGCACCAGCTTCTCATCCAGCCCAACCTTTCCTTAGGGTCTGTGGAGCTTATGTCCAAACCTCAAGAGCTACACTGCAAATTACAGTGCTTGTAGCATAACTGCTCAACTAAACTTACAACTTCCTATTTTTCTCCCTGACTTGCTCTAGTATCTACTCATCTTCACTTCCTGCACCAGGAAGGAGCCCCAGGGAGGGATTTCATAGTGTTAGATTGTTTAGAGTTCTTTTATTTCCTAAGCCAGTGAAAATCTGAATAATATCCACAAAGGAGAGAGAAATTCCTCAGATGGAGCCTTTCACCATGCAGTTCTGAGAGTTATTTGAGAGTCCAAACCCAGTTGTCTATGGCATTTTCTCTCCCCCAAAAGACAGCCTGAGTAATTTTTACCTTTAAGCAGTGTTTAAATTTTTCATCTATTCTCCAAGACTCATATATTTTTGCACTTGCTCTGGCCACATCATTGAGTATGGAAGGTTTGTTCTCTTAACTAATACGACAAGTGTAATAAAAGCCATTGCATAAAAACATACCAAAGCCAACTCTGCCTTTAAAGAAACATACTTGGAGTAATACAAGGTTAAATTCAAGCAACAGGAGGTAAGCAGATGCAAGGATAACAATCCTATTTGGAGCAACCAGGACAGAAATAGATGTCTTAAGATAAAAGGGACTTGAAAATTAAGCACATAGTAAAAGATTCTACAGAAGCCAATAAAAGTTCTACTACTACTTTATGAAAAGGATACTACTTCTACTCTTCTAGCAAAATGTGTGGGTCTAGCTTGTGTCAATAGAAATGGGATTAAAAATTAAATACAGAATGGTCTAGGCAGGCGTGAATGCCAAGTTGATTAAAACAGGGACAGGAAATGAGAGAATCCTTTTCTAATCCTGATTCTGCTGCATTCACTGTGTGATTAAACACTCCAAATACCCACAGCTAAACCCCCTTGTTTTGAAACAAGGATAACAGTGACTTAATTAACAAATCCGTATAATTCTCCTGTGAGTTAGTTGAGTACCTCTTGGAAAGAATATAAAATACATTGTAAATTCTGAGTAGTAACATGGTTACTGCAACAGATCAGTTATCTGCCATAGCATACTAAATCACAGAACAGTTAAAATAGCTGCACTTTCACCCTGCCTTAATCTCCACAGTCGTGTGTAACAGCTGATGTTTAATGCATGAAATGTGTTAGCAAACTCCATGATGTTTTCCTCAGCTTAAAATTTCCATTTATGGCTTTAAAATGGAGTTAGGAGCTTAGATTCAAAGTGATTCATTATTTAAAACATGCCATTATTTTCAGAACTGTTCTCCTTTCCTTACTGAACTGACACTAACTACGATACTGCTTTATAAATCACATCTACTTCCTGTGATTATATAATATACACATCACTTGCTAATAAGTTATTTGTAATATGGATTTGTCAAGTGGAGTGAGCACCTAGTCAGAATGAGACAAGATTACTCACTGGTGTTATAAAATATTCATTAGTTATATAATACCACTATTCACAGTTTGGCTATAAACCAGGGTTCCTTGAGTTGTACTTAGCTTTAAAACTAGATTTTGCTTTAAGAGGTTGTAGAAGAGCATAGAATGACAAGGTCATTAAGTCCATCACTTGTACTGAATTTGACACTTTTGTCCCATGTAGCTATGAGAAGACTCTCACTTTTCATGTTTCTTTTCAGCTTAGGTTGTGTTTAGTCCCTAGTTTACCACTCCAACTGTGTATTTGGTCTGAGAAACTTTTCTCCTGCTTATGACCTCAGGAACAGCTGTTTTCCTATAGGGATTCTACAAATCCAGAAGTTACTGAAGGATAAATGTTTCCTAAGTGTGTAGTTTGTATACTTTGGTTTATTGACATTTTAGACTGTTCAACTTAATCAAATGTGTACACTGCTGACCCGGTATAAAATGTAAAGGATGTTTTGTAAGTCTTATCTATGCTAGCAGGCAAGCATTCTGTTTAAGTAATGGAGTAATTACAGAAAATAGATGTGTTGGGGTTTCTTTTATCCCACAAGAGGAGGCCTGTTGCCTTTTCCTACATAAAAACACATGACATTATAAAGTCCTCTTAGTCTTTCCCTGCCAATTGCTCGGTCTAATGTAGGAGCTGACAAATGTTTTACTAAGTGTGCTTAAGATCCCAAGTGCTATATGAAGCAAGCGAGTAATAGCAGCCTATTGAGGAGCAACTGATAAATGGCTATGCAAGTCATTTTGGCACAACAGATCCCAGTGTTCATTATTATCAAAACTTGCTGGAGCATTAAGGGTTTTTTTTGCTTGTTCGGGGTTGGGGTTTTTTCCACATGTTCTTGCTCTTCATTATTTAAGAACACTTAATTTTGTGCAATTTACAGCCTTATTACTGTATTTGCTAGTGCAACTTCATAAAAGTCCAGATTTAGCCCTTTTCAAGTTTTTCAGTTGGTAAACATTAAACTGTTCTGCTTTTTTGAGATAAGATACTTTCACCTTCAATTAAATAGCATTCACAAGTCTATATGTTTTTATTTATTCCTCTGAATTCCAAGAGCAGTAATACTAATACCTAAGTTCTTTCGCTAGGAACTCAAGTAGCTCAATAATTACAGCAACAGATTGAGGGCCAGTAACACGCTGTTTCTAATCCTCTCTAAACTATTAGTGACTGACCTCATCTAAATCACTTCATCTCGCTATTTCAGTCATCTTAGCTAAACAAAGATGTGTTTTGCATTTTTCTTACCAATCTAACCTTAACTAGCCTTCTGTGGCTTCATGGGATTACTTGGCAAATATATCAAGTAGGTGTGAAACTATTTGAAATGCAAACTTACAGGTACTCCCTTATGAAAACTTTCCATTACTTTTATTTAGATTAGTTACTTTTTTTTTTTTTACTACTTGCTTGAATAGGTCAGGAGCCTCACAATAAGCTTCGTGGATTTACATAATCAAGGAGTCCAATTATAAGAATATACATACTTCAGTATATAAATCAAGAACCAAACTATGGCAGATGTTTACATTATGACTTGATAAGCATCTTGTAGACTATGCTTCACTTCTTCTTAATTTATACCCCTTTTTTTTTTTTGAAAAAGGACATCAAATTGGACCCATCTTTCAAGTTTTCCAAATACCCATGTTAAAGTCACAATTGCAAGATTTTGCTAAAAACAACAAGATAATGGTACAAATTTTATAATACTAACTTCAGAAGTTTGATTTTTTTTTTGTTTGATTATATCCAGTAGCTCAAGAAACCAGTCAATCACATAACAATATTACCAAATCAATATGTAGTAGAACTTGGAACATACTATAACTCAAAATAATTTTAACTTTTCTTTCTTTCAGCAGTACCTAGACAAGTCCCTCTAATTTCACATCCAATATGAATTCAGATATCTATTTTTATCAATTTATAAGTTCATGGTGGTTCAGAACACCCGCTACTTTTTCCCCCATACATTATGAATTTCATTAACTGACACCAATTCTTGTTCAATCTATTAAACTAATATATA